GGGCGGTTCAGTCAGTGTTACGGGGCAGCCCCGTCAGTGCGACGGGGCGGTTCAGTCAGTGTTACCGGGCGGCTCAGTGCGACGGGGCGGCTCAGTCAGTGCGATGGGGCGGTTCAGTCGATGTTACGGGGCGGCTCAGTCAGTGGGACCGGACGGTTCAGTCAGCGGGACCGGATGGCTCAGTCAGTGTGATGAGTCGGCCCTGTCAGTGTGACCAGGCAGTTCAATCAGTGGGACTGGATGCTCTGGTCATTGTGACCCAGCGGCCCAGTTAACGTGACCAAGCAGTGCAGGTGCTCAGTCAATATTTTTTGGTTTGATAAATTATTCAGTTGTTTTTCTCTTCATTATCATGCCTATTAATGCCTGGGGAGAAAATGGAAATTAAGTTTTGGCAGCAAGATACACGTTTGATTTGGTTTGAAGACCCACCCTCACAACATCGGCCTAGTACATTCAAATTGTAGGGCCTCCTGGTTGTCGCAGGAATACAAGTTTGATTTCTAACAGGACTTTTGTGACGTTTCCTAGAGAATTCTTGTGCTCGGTGTGAGTAGTACAGTTAGTACAGACCGTTGTCAGGTGTCCTGCTGTCTGTCCACCCCGCAGCCTGTCCAGGGGGCTGAAGGCTGCTATAGAAGACGTCTTTTGGTCGGTCCAGTGTTAGGTTGCTCTGTTCCTGGCCGTGGGGTGCAGAGTGTGGATTACAGGCCTAGTGCTTTGTCTACCAGTTTCCTTGTGCAAGGTTCGCTGCTTTGGGGTTTAGTCTCTCACCTTTCCTCCTTTACCTACCTGTAGATTAGTCGTATTGAGTATATTCATTCGAAGAACTTCATCCACCGAGACGTGAAGCCAGATAACTTTCTCATGGGACTCGGCAAGAAGGGGAACCTGGTCTACATCATAGACTTCGGGCTGGCCAAGAAGTACCGCGACGCCAGGACCCACCAGCACATCCCCTATCGTGAGAACAAAAACCTCACTGGGACCGCTCGATATGCCTCTATCAACACCCATCTTGGAATCGGTGAGCTGGGGTGGGGGGCAGCAGCCACGCCCTGTCACTGGCTGGGGTCCTCTGGGGCATCCATCTCGGCCGGGGCCCGCAAGACGCCTGCTCTGTGCAGCCTGTGGGTCTCGAAGCTGCCATCACACTTTTGTAGCAAAGTGTTTGCTGGGTCTCATTCTCACGCCCGTGTGGTCTCCACTGGTGCGTGGGGCCATCCTTCACGGTTCCTCTCCTTTTCCTTTTCAGAACAATCTCGACGAGATGACTTGGAGTCCCTGGGCTATGTCCTGATGTACTTCAACCTGGGCTCTCTCCCCTGGCAGGGGCTGAAGGCTGCTACCAAGAGACAGAAATATGAGAGAATTAGTGAGAAGAAAATGTCCACTCCCATTGAGGTGTTGTGTAAAGGCTACCCTTGTAAGTCTTTTTGCGACCTGTCCTGCCACCAGAAGTGACCGGGGCCTGGGCTCCCTGTGCTCAGTATACCACACAGCTTTGCTCTGCACCTTCTGTCAGAGGGACCCCCGTCACAGCCGCCTTCTCCAGAAGGCAGGTGGGGTGCCGGGTACCGAGCCAGCAGCCTCCGCTCTCACCAGGAGCCCAGGGGCTGGCACCCCTGGCAGTGGGAGACGAACCCCCGGGCCAGCCTCAGACCGACCCGCCTCTCTCCCTCGACCTCTGAGTAGTTGGGAGGTGACGCTGGCAGGTGGCTCTGGCCGTCCTTTACCTGCCGGCAGCTTTATCCCTTGCCCGCTTCTAGAGCCAAAACTGAGTGCGCATCCTCTGTTCTTGGGTTGCCCCGGGCTCAGCGCCCTGGGTAAGGCTTGGCTGCTTTGTGGGGGCGATTTCGCACGCCTGCCTGAGGGCTGGCTGCTTAAGCATTGGCTGGCCCTGAGACGGCGTCCGTCTCCCGCCCCAAGGCTCTGTAGCACGGGAAGGTGAACGGGAAGCCCGACGGGCACCGTTCGGGCGCCCACCTCCGGCTACAGCTGGTTAGGGTCCAGTGTCTTGTTCTGCAGCTGAGTTTGCCACGTACCTGAACTTCTGCCGCTCCTTGCGTTTCGATGACAAGCCTGACTACTCGTACCTGAGACAGCTCTTCCGGAACCTGTTCCATCGCCAGGGTTTCTCCTACGACTACGTGTTTGACTGGAACATGCTCAAGTTTGTAAGTGGCACTCCCGACTCGCCCGCTCCTGAGCGTCTGACGGGCCGCCCGTAGGTGTGGGCGCCGTGATCCGTGCCGGGTCTCAGTGGAGCAGTGGCATGTGGCTCGGTTCACTGCAGCAGGCGTCTTTGCTTGGTGGCAAGGCCAGGGTGCCCCTGGCGTTGGGGGCCGAGGAGCAGGCACCATCGGGGTGTGGACAGCGAGCCCCTCAGTTCGTGTCCGCCAGAGCTGGGCCCTCACTATTGCTAGTCTTTAGTGATGAACCCCGAGAGCGTCACACTTGGACCGCCTGTGGGGTTTCCGGCGTTGTGCCTGCCTGTTGTATGGGCGGAAACGTCACTGTTCTGAAGGAGGGCTGAGATGGGGCCAGAAGGCCTCCCCTGGCCTCGGCCTTCCCCCTCGCTAACCCAAAGGACTCGGGGTCGGGGGGCCCGGGGGCAGCGTTGTGACTGTGCAGAGCGAGCTGCCTGGGGTGGGGGCACTGTGGTGGCTGTCTGGCTCTGAAGCCGTCTGCTGCGCTTTTGCCCTGTGGTCTCGGCTGGTCTGTGTTTGAGTTCCCGTCCCCACAACGTGTGTGCTGGTTCTGTGCACACGCTTGCGTATGCCGCGGGTGGGGGTGGCCGGGGGTCTCCGTTGTTTTCTCCCCAGCAGGCAGCCTGTGGCTGGGCTGTTGTGTGAGCGGGATTGATCAATGTTCGGGCCCTGTTGCCAGAATTGACACTTTTGTGGAACTTTCATTTCCTCTGTCATTAAAGACACGTTCTGTTTAGTTATCAGCTTGAAACAGAAATTGGAACCTTTCCAGGGTGGGGAGATTACTGCCTGAGGCGTAGAGCCTCCTTTTCACAGGACGCATAGCAGGAATCCTTATCAGACGCCCGGCAGGGGGCGCACAGGGGGCCCAGGCACTGGGAGGACGTGTCCAGGGGTGCAGACGGGCCGGCGGGGGGGGCTGTCGGCTCCCCAGTTCCTCCCTGGCTTGGGCAGGAACCCTGTGTCGTCAGGAGAAGGCGCAGACCAGCAGGAGTCAGTCCCCCGTTTAAGAGCATTCAGAGGGTGGCCCTGGTGGTGCCTCAGATCTCACCGGGAGCCTGGTTGCTTGGGTGGGCTGTCCTTCCGAGCCGCTGCTGGGTTGTTACTCCAGCATCACCTGCCCTGTCAGTAGCTGTGGGCCAGCCTTTCCTGTAAAGGGCCAAAGGCTGTGTCGCAGCTCTTAATTTTGCTCTTGTAGCGTAAAAGCAGCCGTAGATGACCCGTAAACGAGGTAGCGGGTAGCAGGCAGGATTTGGCCTGTGGGCCATAGTTTGCAGATCCCTGCTTTATGGGGCTGGCAGTTAGAACTTATCCTTCAGTAAGATTGGTACCTTAGTTTTCCTGCTTTAGATGAAAGGCCTCGTGCATGTGGTTTTGTTAGTGAATATGCGTGCTCGGCGGGGGGCAAACCTAGTTAAACGCCCGGCCTCCAGCACGTGCCCAGCCACCCTCCCTCTCTGTGGTCTCGTGTGCTGTGTTGCTGACGTTGCCCTCAGCCCCATGCCCCACAGCCCCGGGCTCGGCCCTGCTTCTTGCCGACACTGGCCAGTTCAGGCCCATGGCTGGCCTCAGACCATTTCCTGTCCCGCCTCTCCCTTTCTGCACACATCTCATCAGTAGGTGAAGGTTCCGGATCAGAACTTCAGCCCCAGGGATGGAGGTGTTTGCTCGCTGGTGTCAGGGGAGGAACGGGGGCTGAGGTTCCCGCCCTGGGGCCTTGCTTCGGCCCCGTCCAGGTTTCGTGAGACGAGGCCGTGCCTGTGTCTGGTGTGAGGCCCCCTCCCCTGGCGGGCTGTCTCTCCGTAGTGGCCTAACGGGCAGGCTTGTCCTCGGGGCCCCTGATGTTTTCTCGAGCTGCCACCAAAACCGTTCCGTCCTGGCCTCACCCTCCCTTCTCTTAGGGTGCCAGCCGGGCTGCCGACGATGCCGAGCGGGAACGCCGGGACCGAGAGGAGCGGCTGAGACACTCTCGGAATCCAGCTACCCGGGGCCTCCCCTCCACGGCCTCAGGCCGCCTGAGGGGGACGCAGGAAGTGGCTCCCCCCACGCCCCTCACCCCTACCTCACACACTGGTGAGTGTCAGACAGTCAGGATTGGTTCCCGTGCTACCTTTCAGGATCGGTCTGGGGGTGATCCTGGGGGGTTCTTCCCTCCTGTCTGCATACGGGGCCCCTGCAGAGCTCTGGGTGGGTGTGCTGTGTCTCTTCCTCTCGGGTCCTGGCCAAGGCTGTTTCTTAGGAGAGTCAATTTCTGGGACTGATTTCATCTCTCATTACCCGGGTGACCCCCGCCACCCGTGAGCCTCAGTGCCCTCTGTTACCCGGGGGCTGTGTGCAGTGTTCCCCGGTGCCATCCTCTGTCCTGGTCTACTGTGGTGTCCAGAGCAAGTCGAGATGTTGTGTAGCCTTGGGGCAGAGCCTGATGTACCCCTTTCCAAAGGCCCCAGAGACCCATTGTGCCGGGGGAGGCGGGGCGGGGGGCCTCACAGGCCTGCTCTCTCTCCCTCAGCGAACACCTCTCCGCGGCCCGTCTCCGGCATGGAGAGAGAGCGGAAAGTGAGTATGCGGCTGCACCGCGGTGCCCCTGTCAACGTCTCTTCGTCTGATCTCACAGGCCGGCAAGATACCTCGCGCATGTCCACCTCACAGGTGCGATTCTTGGCATCCAGCGTGTCCCCTGCACCCGTGGGGCCCGGGGTGCTGGCTGCTCGGGGCTGGGCTGGGCCATCCCACAGCAGAGCGGGTTCTTCCCTCCCTCCCTCCACCTTCCTTCCCCTATCTTAGTGATCTTAACCTTCAGAGCACCTCAGAGACAGACAAGCTTGGCCTTGGGGGACAGGTCCCCCAGCTCTGAGCAGGGCACAGGGTGCTCGACCCCTGGCCCCTAGGACACTTTCCTGGCCCCAGGGCTGTGTGCCACCTCCTGTCTATGGTTGACGCTGCGGCGTCACAGGCACCTTGTACTTCTGAGGACTTGTCCTCATGTTGCTCGGCCAGAGCACACTGAGCCCACAAGGCCCCCGTGGAGCGGGGAGGGGTTCCAGGTGAGCAGCCTGGTGTCCCCCTCAGGGTCCCAGCCCCGAGGTCGCCGGCTCGGGGTGGGCCTGTCCTGGCAGCTAGCCACGCACTGAGGGCTCGTGCTTTGTGTTCTGATTTCCTCTGTGACGGACAGGCTCCCTGGGAAAGCGCCTGCCGCAGGCCGTGCTCCGCTCGCTCCTAACCGCGTGCCTCTGCTCGTGTCCCCTGCTCTCGCTTGTCCTCACTCTTCTCGTGCATCCTCTGACACCCCACTTCAGCAGACGTTAGGTCTGTTCAGCTCTCAGTCTGCCCGTCGGGTCCGTCAAGGTCTGGGTCTCCCACAGGCCAGGAGGGAATCAGGAGCCCGGTGGACTCTCGTGGGCACCCCCTCATCTTTCTTTGGTTTACATGTTAGAGCCGGGGCCTCCTGTGGTGCTGCTGGCTTCCAGAACAGCCTGTCAGGAGGTGGGTTGGTGGTTAGTGAGCCCGGGCCTCCAGATCCGGCCTGGCCGCTGGAACTGCGGGCACCTGTCTCCCTGCAGCGGGCGCTGCTGTGCCAGAGCAGTGCTCTGACCATCTTTCTGTTAATCAAACAAAATGAACACTTGAGCTAAAAATGTCTGATTTGCTAACACTTGTACTATAAATGGGCTGTGTTTATAGTATCTCTTTCTTCCCAAGAGACTGAAGAGGCACATAGTTTGAGGGAACAGTTGTTGATCTGATTTGAATTGTGGGGTTGAAGGGTTTAGCAGTTCAATGAGATTTCGACCCGTTTTGAGATACTCCTTGAAAGGGACCCTCTCCCCCCCCCGCCCCCCGCCCTCGCCCCTCTACCTTAGGATAGAAATGGCCGAGTGGTTCTCTTCCCTTGGATCTGGGATCCAGGAGTCAGCGCAGCCAGGAGCAAACCTGGCTCGGGGAGCTCACCTCCCGCACTTGGCAGGGGCCCACGTGCCACTCCCCCAGCCCTGGAGACACCAGGTCCCCCTCCCCAGTTGGCATGGATGCAGGAGTGTCTGGTGGATCTGGGAGCTTTGTGGTAAACAAAGGAGTTCAGGGTGGGGCTGAGGCCTCTGCTGCCTGGTCTGCCTGGAGGCAGAGGGAGGCTGGGTTCTCCTCCTCCAGAAAGTCTTCCTTGAGCTGATGCGCATGGGTGTGTAGGAATTAGTCCTTTCTTTGTTTTCTTGTGTCCCCCCACCCCAATATCAAGAGCAGTAACTGGCTTTCGCATTAGGGAGCCTTCCCAAGGGGATTTGATCGGTGGCATTTTTGCTCCAAAGGAAGCATGTTAACTTGCCATGTCACCTAGGCCCCTCTGCCCTCATCGCACCCAGAGTGCAGCCACCTAGTGCCTCCAGCACATTTCGTCCTGTACCTACCAGGCTCCTCTGGGTTCACCTTCAGGGCGGGGGTGGTTTCCCTCAGGGCAGCCACGTAGTCCACGCAGACCTGCCCCTTGGGCTCTGGGCTGCTCTTCTGCCCAGGGACACGGCACTGACACCGTCCCAGCTGTGCTCCTGATACTGTGGTTCTTGGCCACGGTTTGAATTGAGGGGCACAGGAGGCTCCCCCTGGACCAGCTGTCTTGTGACCCTTGGCCCAGGCAAGGGCTCCCCCAGCTTGTGCTGCATGTAGACTCCATCCACACCCAAAAAAGCCAAGAGTTAAAGTTGCAGTGCGGGGCGATCGTTAGGGGCAGCTGGGGCGCGGGTGTGGGTGGGGCGCGGCTGGGCTGAGCGTTCTGGCCTCAGAGCCGCCGCCTTGGCGCTTTCTGCTCGTGGGTTCCCGTGGGTTCACATGCCGAGGAGCAGGGCCGCGGGCCCGGGCCCCACCCACCAGCATCTGACGGGCGTCAGTGGAGTATCACCTGGCCTCGTGGGGACACTGGTTTTTCGTGCAGTCAGATGCCCCGAGTGTGAGAGCTGGGTGGAGGCGGGCCATGAGACTAGTGTCCCTCGCCCGTCATGGCAGCTGGCTCAGACCCGACTCCACGGGAGGCCAGGTCCCCGTGAGCGTGAGTCTGGCCTCTGCGGCTGGTACCTCCTGTGTGGTCTTCGGGTTTCTCGAGATGAAGAGCCTGCTCAGCCAGTGCTGCCCGCAAAGCACACTCCAGCCCTGTCCGCGCGTCAGTGAGGCTCTGTCTCTGGGCCGTGTGGCCTGGCTCAGGCGGTAGACGCTGCTTTCAGAGCTGTCGCGGGTCCCGGCCCTCCCTGCCTTGGTCCTCGTGGAGCCTGCCCAGCAGGCTGCCTAGCCCCGCCACCCAGCAGGGGTCGTATGTGAGGAAAGGTGGGGGTCCCGTCCTGCTCCCCGTTGCTTTTTTGATAGATTAGTCTGGAAAGGGGCAGCGGCTGCTCTAAGGAGAGGGCCACGCGGGCAGGAGAGACGCCGGCGAGAGCTGCGAGGTCGGGGCAGGCAGGCCGGAAGACAACCCCTGGGCAGGGAAATGTCCCTGTGGGTCCTGGGGTCCCCTCTGCCATCAGTGGGGTCTGCGGACCGGGAGAGGAGGCGCCTTTGGAAACAGGCTGACTAGGCGGTCAGGGGCCGGACCTCACGAGCCAGCGGCCACTTACCAACAGCTGTCTTTTCCCCACCTCAGAATAGCATTCCTTTCGAACACCATGGCAAGTAGCTGCTCGTCTCCGTGGAAGGCAGCACTGGGTGAGTGTGTTGGTGTCCGGGCCAGTCTGGGTGGACAGTAAGGCCGCCCGCCCGTGAGTCTCCCGGCAGGCCGGGCTTGCATGCCAGGTGCCAAGGCCGTGTGAGGCCTCTGCTAGTCTGTCCTCGTGGGTCCCTGTGTGGTGACCCCGAGGCCTCCCAGGCAGGGCCAGGCTGCTCCAAGGGGGCTCCCCGAGTGCCAGAGGAGCTGCCTCTGCAGCAGGGACCCCCGCTGTCTCCCCGACTGCTCCTGTGGCTCCAGAGCTGGAGACACCTGGGCTCTGGGGCCTGAGCCTGGGAGTGTTCTCCTGCTAGGCTGCGTGGCGCCGCTTGGTGTGGGGTTGCGCTCAGAGGCGCCTGCAGTCTGTCCACCTGCCTCGTTCAGTTGTCTCTCTTCTCCGTTATTTCTGTTCCCCCGTTTAGTTTTTCTTCTCAAACTCACGCTCTCTGCCCGGCTGTCTCGTACATGCAGATGTTGTCTGTGTCAGCTGGCCCCCTGCCCTGCGCTCCCGTGGTGCATGGCGTCCTCGCTGCTGCCGCCCTTGGCACCACGTGCACTCTGCACCCTCCCAGCGGAGTACTTGCGGCTTTGGTTGGTTTTAGCGGCTTTCGGCCTGCTGCGGCTTCACCTGATCAGTCAGGGGTCTTGAGCTCCCTCACTGCGCCCCTGGGGTGTCGCGGTGCTGACGGGCCTGTGCTCATCTCCAGACACCAGTCACTTCCTGGGGGATGTGGTGCACGTGGCTTCTCCTCAAGATCCCGCCCGTGGCCACTGCATCTCCCATTCGCATGCTGCCTCCTCTCCTGGTCTTCTGCCCATATCTCCAAGCAGCGTCCAGGCCGTGGGGCGGAGCGTTCCGAGCGGGCGAGCACGTCCCCAGGGCTGTCTGCAGTGTGTGTACCGGGCACTGGCAGCGCGGCCCGGCCCCACGCTGACGCTCTCTGTGCTTTGGCTCCGACAGATTCCCGGTCGGGTGGCGTCCAGCGGTCTTCAGTCTGCCGTGCACCGGTGAACCGCTCTGTGCCGCGAAGGGCAGACGTGCATGGCTGATCAACTCTGTACCAATGGCTTCCTAGTGACGCGCCCCGACCTAGAGCAGGAATGTTGACACCGGAGCTCTCCAGGCCACTCACCCAGCGACGCGCATGGGACACACACATACTAGATGGACAGATGCCACGTGCTGCCAGCGCCAGGGGCCACGGCCCACACGTGAGCTTGGTCACCGCTGGGAGGAGCGCGTGTGCCGCGAGCCCTGGCAGAGACTCAGCCCACCGCAAACCTTGCCCTCCGCCTCCGTGGTGGCCCGCGCTCCCTGCGAGGCTGCTGTAACTACCGACTTTTCTGTTGATTAAGACAGTTTTGTATCATTTTGCTAAAAATTATTGGCTTAAATCTGTGTAAAGAAACCTACCTTTTTATTGTTTTCTGTTTGTTTTTGCGGTCTCACAAAGATGTTGATGTTGAAGAATCCGAAAACAAAGTTGCTGGCTGGCGTTGTGTGTGAGGTGGTCAGGCAGGAGAGTCCCCAGGCTCCAGTGGTCTGTGTCCGTCCGTCTGCTGTCCTGTCATGCTGTGCTGTGTGGTCCACTGTAGAGAGGGGTATCTCACCAGAGTTCTGTCACGTGTGCATCTGCGTACAGGTCGTGCGCCCCTGCGTACAGGTCGTGCGCCCCTGCGTACAGGTCGTCTGTGTGTCGTGGACTGGTGTCTTGTGGCCCATTAGCCTGGTTTGGGTGTCCTCGCCCTCTGTCCCCCGTCAGAATGGACGTTCCCACAGCAGCTTTGGATTGCTCTCCAGTGAGAAGGTGCAGGCTGCTGCAGAGAAGGACAGCGCTGCGGTGTTTCCAGGCCACACGCAGCCCTGCCCCAGAGGAGGACGAGGATGCCAAGAACACTGCGGACGCGGATGTGGAGGATGTTGGGCGCCCGGCTGAGTCGGGTGCGTTTCTGGTTTCCAGGGAGAGGACTGTTCGTCAAGAGCTGTCGGGTCGTGTCGGGGTCGTGTATGTGATTGGGGGATGTTTGTTGCCTAAATGCCTTTGAATTTCAATTTGGGAAATTTTCTGAACAGACTGTATGTGCAGCCACCGTTAATCTGTTAAGACTTGTGAGCTTAGTAGGAAGGCGTGTGGTCTTGCGTGCCCAAGGGTGCCCAGCAAGGTGGTGAGGCAAGGGGGATTCCACGCCAGGGTGCCAAGAAGCAGACGACGAACCCAGACGCATCACAGAGCATGTGGGAGCGTGTGCCATGTGGCGGGTATCCCTGGACCGCACAGGAACAGCCCTGACACCACAGGTCAAGTGCTGTGTCGCCAGAGGAGGAGCGTGGACGAGCTGGGCGGCACGTGCTCCTGCTACTCCTGTGTTTGACTGCTTCTTGGAAGCTAGGACCCAGGGTACCCCCTTCTCCTTCCATACCCCAATGTTTCTTGGCCCAGGAGCACTGGGCCAGCCCACCGTCACTGTTGGTGGATGTTGCAGGCGTGGCTGACCTTACCGGGGCCGCTTCGTTCTGAATGGTCAGTGATCTGTCACTCCCGAAGCACCGGGGGTGGGGGTGGGGCAGTGTTTACAGAGGGAGCGCCTTCTTTGGACTGAGGCTGTTCCCTTCCGGCCTCAGCGGGCGCTCTGCGTGCCACAGTTCCCATGTCATGGCGCCTCGCGGCCTTTGCCTGAGGCTGCGGGGTGAACAGCTCTGCCCCCCACGCACACTGTAACCCAGGTGGAATGTATCAGCTGTGTGCAGAGTCTGGACAGCGCATTTGTACCACCACTGTATTTGTGTACTTTAACAACTGTGTAAATAATAAATTCATATGGCTTCTACATTTCTCCCTAGCCCCTTTCCTGGTCTTCATTTTGCAGTCTGGGAGTTTTCAACGTACGTAGTGTGTGTTGCGTGGCCTCGCTGGACTGGGTGCCCTGTGGTCCTGGGCCTCAGGCCTAAGGGGGAAGCTGGCGGGTGGAGCCACCCATGTCCACGCCTGTGGCTGGGCTTTGCAGGCAGGGCCTGTGCATCTGAACCCAGTCTTTCCTCTGGACGTCTGCCCGTTCTGGGTAAGCAGTCAGTTTCCTGTTCCAAACCCACGTGGTAATTGCTGGAACTGTCCAGGAGCACTGAGGCCCTTGTCTTGCACGATTCTGTGTGTTAGGGAAATCCATGGTAGTCTATCTTGTTTGTTCGGGTTTCGGGTTGTCTGCCTTCCCAACCACCTTGCCTCATCCCGAACAATTTTGTCTCCTCCGCCCGTCCTCAAGCCGCCGTTCTGGCCCTGGGCGTCTGGTCAGCTTGCAGCAGGGACCCCAGGGCCACTCAGAGGCCCTTGTACTTAGGTCCTTCCTTGTTCCCTAGGCCTGCCTGTCGGGGGGCCTGCCTCTTGGGCCAGCTCTCCTCCCTGTCTCCACACCTCCCCGCTGCCCGAGGCTGAGGAGGCAGCGTTTGGAATCTAGTTCTCGGTGCGAATGAGACGCCGACCACTCACCCCAGGCCTTTGCTTAGACTCACAACAAACTAGTTTGCAGTAAGAGTTAAGTTCTGAGCACCTTCCTCACCTTCCAGAACCCTTGTCGTCAGCTGCTGTGGTGTCCGCCCTGACGCGTGGTAACCCCGTGCACAGCAGTGTGAAGCACTGCCCAGTTCTGCACCGTCCCCGTGATCATGCGGGTTGGGCAGTTGTGACCCATAGGGTTTTGATTGGCTGATTCTCAGAAGTAGACCTGGACCTTTGTTCCGGGTCTGTCTGGTTTGGGAGCTCTGCTGAAACCTGTTCGGCGTCACAGCAACACTCAAGCCTCAAGTGACAGATGGGTGGTGGCTGCGCATGAGGTGCCTCGGGCAGGAATCCAACCTGGGTCTCCGTCACAGAGGGCGAGGGTCCTGCTGTCCCTCTTCCCCTCGGAGCCCTCACCTGTTGTCTTTTCATTTCCTGCCAGGAGGGGGCGCACGCGGCTGTCTTCCTTCCAAGAGCTTGCCCCCCCAACACGTTGCCTCCTCACCCCAAAAGAGAACCTGTCACCAGCACCTCCCCCACTGGAGCCCTGGGGGTTCCTATAGTGCCCGCCCCCCCCCCCAGGAGCCCCATGAGGCGCCTCCCCTCGGCCCCCGGGCCACAGTGGTCCCCTGCGCCACGTTGCTGTCTGCTGTGCACGTCCCTATGCAGACCGAGCACAAGAGGGCAGGTTCGCTCAACGGGTGCGCAGTGGCCCGTCCTCGGCTCCTCGAGCGCTGACGGGCTGTACGCAGAGGGTCTGGTCCTTTCCGGACCCGAGTCCAGCCGCATGGGTCCTTGATGCGGTTTGAATGCAGAGCAGAGGTGTGTGGTCCTTGCAGGCCCCCGGGCACAGGCCCTTTGTGGGGGCCCTGGCTTTGCCCGCAGGCTCTGCCACATCTCCGCCCCCCACTCCGCCCAGGTCTCTCCAGAGGCCAGGGTGTCTTGGTCCCATGGGCTGCACTCCATGGTGCAGGGCATCGAGGTGTCTCGGGCAGCCCGCCAGCCTCCCCATCTCCCCACACAGCCAGCACTTTGCAGATGTCACGATGAGGGCAGCCGCCTGAGCGGGCCTGGCTAGGGTGTCCTTCCACTGACCTGACCTACTTAGAGGGGCGTCTGCGTCAGCAAGGGTGTCTGGCCCTTACAGGTGCTTAGCGTAAAGTCTCTTTCGTCCCTGGCGGCGCTGGGGTTGATAAGCAGTTGATGGCCACTTCCCGCACAAGTGCCCAAGGACAGGAAGTATCCTTCCTTGCTACCTTGGAACCAGAAACTGGCAGACGGCCAGGCCTCTGTGGACACCGGGTGCTGCCCACACTGGTCTGGTGGTGCCTGAGACCTTTGACCTCACCCACGAAGAGCCGACCGAGGGGCAGATGGGGCCCGGGTTCCTGGAGCAGGGAGGCGGGAGCTGTTGCTCCTGTGGGGTGGGGGTGGGGGTGGCTGTGCCTCCATACCCCCATGCTGCATGGCATCGTGGGACTCTGCACAGCCCCTGGGCAGACTGTGGGTCAGCGCCTTGGCCCGAGCGTAGCGGTGACCCTCCCCGTGCGTCCCCGTATCCTGACCACTTGGAAGCGTCTCAGTGCCCCCAGAGCATGTCTTTGGGGATCATGTTTCCAGATTCTTCATGTTCTGCCCCCCAACCCCCCACCCTCATCCTCCGTGGTGACAGGAGCTGGGGGAGGGGTGAAGCAGTAGGAGCTAAGGGAGCACCTGCCTGGTGTCGCTCCTTATTGGGGGGGGGTAGCCCAGATAGAGCTGCGGGAACCCCACAAGGGGAGAAGCATGTGGGGAATGTTGGCCATGATTTGGCTCATAGAAGCTTCCAGAAGCAGGCCCCAGAGCAGAGGCCAGTCTCCTGCCCCCATTCTCCCCACAGCCCTGCCCGGCCAGGAGGGGCTGTCCCCGAGAGGGCCAGAGTGCAGCCAGGTCCAGCCGGCATGCACACCCTGGGCCAGGGGCAGAGGCAGGGGGTCTGAGCAGTCACCCAGGGTCTGGGGGCAGGCAGTTTCCGTGGGTGATGCCCCTGTTCTCACTCCTGTCTGCCTCCCAGGCTCATGGGCCCTTGTAGAGGCCCACAAGGCCCATGGGTAGCATGGGGTCGGTCCTCTGGAACCCGAGAAGTCGGCTCCATCTTAGCTTTGCTCAGGGACTGGCCTGCAGGGACCTGGGTCCCTGTTTGGCACCCCTCCTCATCGCTGAGGTCAGCAGATGTCCGTGGGCTCTCCTGGGACACCCACCATCCACACCTGCAGCAGAGAGACGATAGGGAGACGTGAGGACCTCGAGTGGGAAGTGTGTGGGGAGACAAGCTGGCCGGTGGGGGGCCTGCAGAAGGGCAGTGAGTGGTACCAGGGCCCCCAGGGCACGAGGAGTGGAGCTGAGGCACGGACAGTCTCCCCAGAGACCGTGACATCTGTGCCAAACCAAAGACATGAGCTCTCGCTTGCTTTTCGTTGCAGAGAAGCAGGGAGATGGCATCCCTCCGGCTGCACGTGGCCCGCCAGGGCGCCCGCTGCCGTCCGCAGCGCCCGCGACGCACCACCTACTGAGGCGCCCCAGCGGCTTCCAGCCGGGCTCCCGCCACGCAGGCCGCCGCTGGCCACAAGGGCAGGTGGGTGCAGCATGCCTGGGGCAAGGCGGGATTGCGGACGCGGGCTGGGGTGGCGTCAGGTGGGGCAGGCCCGGAGCAGGGTGGCCTGGAGCGGGGACCAGTCAGAGGCCAGGCACCGAAGGCAGGAGAAGCAGTTTTTACACATCACGTACACACAAGCCCCGCTAAACAGAACTGCTCCCTGTGTCTGCACAGCACCTGAGTTCCCTACAGAGTCCAAGGCCCCCCTCACGGGCTGGTGGGAGTCCCCACCCTGCGGCCCCCAGGCTGTCCCCCTTCTTGGCGCCACATGGGAAGCCCCTCCGCCACAGACACACCGACAGCCGGCATGGCTGACACAGTAGAGACACCCTCAGACGAGCAGCTTTCTCAGCAAAACCAGGCTGGGCTCATTAGCACCCCGTCCCTCCACTCACACCAGGTTCTGCGGGTCCTGAGACCTCTCCTCCTGTCCCAGGTGTGTTGCCAACCCTCCAGAGTGGAAGGTCCATGTCCCGTGGGCCCCCAGTCCGAGCAGGGCGGTGCCCAGGCGGCACCCTCGGACCAGGTGGGCAGAGGCTGGGAGGCCCAGACACACGGGGGGATCGGCTGCCGGCAGCACCCGCCTTCACCAGCTGTCCCCGGCCCCCGCCTCTCATTAAAGTCATGTTGTCTTTGCAGTACGGGTCCTGGGTCCTTCGGTGGGGGCAGGGCGGGCTGCCGGTGGTCAGGCTGGGTCTCAGCGCACAGGGTTGTAACCACGCTTGGCTCCACCGCAGATCCGATGTGGAATGACGCCTTTCCAACCCCGCCACCTCCCCCCGCCAAACAGCGATCGGTGCCGACCCGGCAGCCACGCCGCTGGCCCGCCCCGCCAGTAGTCCTGTGTGTGAAATAAATACGAACCTCACAGTCTCCGGGCCTCCTCCCTCCTCCTGCCCCGCCGCGGCCCCCTCAGACGCTCGTTTCGGGGTTGGCGATGGCCTCCCCGTTTTTCTCAGGCTCTCCCTTGAGGAAGCACTCCACTTCCCGGGCGTCCACCGGCCCGTCTGCGGGGGTCTGCTTGAGCTCCTCCCCGGCCGTGGCCGCCTCGCTGGCGGGCGTCTCCGCGGGCCCCGTCTTCCTGTACAAAAAGTTGCCCAGCAGCAGGACGAGGGAGGCGCAGAGCACCTCGGCCCCCGCCAGGATGAACACGTACTGGTAGACGTGCGTGGCGTCCAGGAGCTTGCCTGCAAAGGGACAGAGTCACTGTGGGCCATCCCAGCCCCGCTGGCCGCCCCCGCCCCAGCACTGCCCACTAAAGCCCCTGTTGCGTGTGGTCGATGTCTCGGCTTTGAGGCTCCCGCCCACCCACCTCAGGTCTGTGTTTTGGGGAAGGCCATTTCTGCCCTCCTGGGGCTGACAGGGAGGAAATGCTTTCTCTATGCTGTGAAAATCCAGGCGGGGCCGTCCATTTGCCGTCCCCCACCCACACCCGCCACACCCGCCTGTCCTCTCCCCAGCCTCTTCCTCCCCGACGGTCAAAACAGAAGTGGCTCTGAGAAAGTTTGGGGGGGTCCCTGGCACCATGGAGTCCTTCCTGGGCTTTCCTGTCAGGGGCCCCAAAGGGACCCCCGAAGCCACCAGAGGTGTTGGGCAGGGCTTAGGTCATGTGGCACCCTGTCAAGTGGGGACCCCAGATGGGGAGGGTCTGACGGGAAGGACTTGGGCACCTCTGTCCCCAGCCACACCACCAGCACAGCCTGAGCCTGCACTTGCCCCGTGCTCCTGGTCCCCGCATCAGGGTACCCCCGTGACCAGGCCAGGTACGTCCTCACGGGGCAGTGGGTGCCGGCGCTTCCCTGAGACGTGCATGGGGCGTGGGAGGGGCCAGCCCGGGTCTTTGCCCACCGTGTGGTAGTCCCAGCACCAAGAACGGCCCAGGGGGTGTGAATCCCTCCCGCTGACCAGGCGTCTGATGGGTCTGTGGTGTGGTGCCCCCCAACCCGGTAGGCTGCCACTCACCCTCGGAGGGTGGCCCCCGTCGGTAACCCCCCACAATGGGCCGGCAGTCACCCCCAGCGGGTGGCCCCCCCATCACTGACCCCCCCATGGGCTGGCACTAACCCCCAGAGGGTGGCCCCCCCATCAGTGACCCCCCCATGGGCCGGCACTAACCCCCAGAGGGTGACCCCCCATCAGTGACCCCCCCATGGGCTGGCACTCACCCCCGGAGGGCGGCCCAATCAGCACGGCCATGGCCTCCAGCAGCAGCACCAGCCCGATGGCGCTGGAGAACTTCTGGGTGCCCACGATGGCCATGAGCACCTCGAACTGCAGGGCGCCCACCATGCCATAGGAGATGCCAAAGAAGATACAGAAGACCACCAGGCCACCGTAGCTGGTGGCCGTGGAGCCCCCCAGGTCGGCCACGGCGTTGAAGAACATGGCGAAGCTGAAGAGGTAGACGGAGTAGGGCCGCACGCGCTGCAGCCCGGTGATGAGGCCGGCGGTGGGCCGCGCGAAGATGTCGATGAAGCCCAGCACCGTGAGCAGGAAGGCGGCCTGCGTGTCAGGCGTGCCCATGTCCTTGGCGTAGCTCACCACAAACACGGGCGGCACGAAGAGCCCCAGCACCATGATGGAGGCAGCCAGCGCGTAGATGACGAAGCCGCGGTCCCGGAAGACGCTGAAGTCCAGCAGCCGCCGCGCCGGCCGGCGGGGTGCCACCTCGACGCCCGCCTTCCGGGGCGGCTCCAGGGGCCTCATGAGCGCGGCGCACACGCAGCAGTTGAGCAGCAGGCCACCCAGGATGAGGAAGCCGCCGCGCCACCCGTAGTGGTCCTGCAGCAGCTGGCCCAGCGGGGACAGGGCGCACAGGAACACCGGGCTGCCCGCGGCCGCCAGCCCGTTGGCCAGCGGGCGCCGCTTGTCGAAGTAGCGGTTCAGCATGATGAGTGACGGCTGGAAATTGAGCGCCAGGCCGAGGCCTGGAGGGGAGAGGCTGCGGGTGAGACGCCGAGAGGACCCGGGCCTGTGTGCAGAGCCCCTGACCACCAGGGAAGTGAGGGGCCTACTGGCACCCCAGGGACACTGCTCCCTGGAAGCGAGGGAGAGGCAGAAGCAGCCAGAGACCACCCATCCCCAGAAGGCCCTGCGTCTGCTCTAGCTGAAGGGAGTTTGCTCCCCATGCAGGGCTCCCTGTCACCACACGGGCAGGTCCACTCACCGGTAATGACCCCAGTGGTGAGGTAGACCTCTATGATGCTTCTGCAGAAGGACGCGGCCACCATGCCCAGGGACGCGAAGAGGCCGCCCACAAACATCACCGGCCGGCAGCCGAAGCGGTTCACGCACACGCTGCACAGGGGACCTGGGAGCAGGGGATGGGCTGAGGGCAGGCCACGCCCATGCCCACGCCCACATCTGGGGGCTCTGACCACGCCCCCGTCTACGCCACGCCCCATGCAGCTGGCCCGTCGAAGAGCCAGTCTGGGGGTGGTCTCGCAGCGTTTCCTTCCCAAGGCTGCGCGGCCTGTCCCACTTGCCGCTCTGCCAGCACGTGGCTCCAGTGCGTACTGGGCACGGCCTGGCTGTTCCCGCCACCGGTCAGCCCCCCACATTGCCAGCTGCAGGTCACAGTGAAGCGCCAAGAGAACAGTCTGTGTACTGCTCTCTGGGGGACGGGTGGGGCAGCCCCCTCAGAACAATAGCTTGTCCTTCGGGCCCATCCTTGGCGCTGCGTATAAATACAGCCACCACCTGTACAAGCCACCTTGGTGTGCCCAGTTCGGCTCTACGGAGAACAGGTAGCTTTCTGCCAGGCTCCCTTTCCCTCTCAGCGTCCCCACGTCGCTATGCCAGGATCTGCCCCCTGCAGCCTTTTCACCCCATGTGACTCCTCAGGGACCCCAGGACAGGCATCCCCTCAGCAGGGGCCCCCGGGAGACTGACCACAGCAGCAGGTCCCCCAGGACAGGTGACCCCAGTGGCGGCCCCTCAGACAGGCGGGACAGGTGACCCTTAGGACAGGGGACCCCTGTGGGGCCTCACCGGTGCCGTAGAGCATGGCCAGCAGGATGGAGGAGATCCAGGCCGCATCGCTGTAGCCAATCTCAAACTCCTTCATGAGCTCCTTGAAGAAGACGCTGACCGCCTTGGGGAAGGCGTAGGAGAAGCCGGTGATGACAAAGCCACCGAAGAGCACGGCCCAGCCCCAGCCCCCGTCAGGGGCCGGGACTCCTGTCGGGCTGTCATCCACCACTGCACCGCCCATGGCCGGAGGGCTCGGTCTGCGCGGCCTGCAGCAGGAAGCACAGGCAACTAGTTGTCACGGTGATAATCTCGGCTGTGGCCAGCAGGGCAGGGTAGGGACAGAGAACATGCACCGGACACGTGGACTGCAGTGCTGCACACTGAACGGCCGCACCCTGGGCCGGCCTCCGCCCGGCTCTGCACCTGGGGCCCCCACCCTCCGGCCCGGCTCTGCACCTGGGGCTCCCAGCCTCCAGGCCCAGATCTGCACAGGGTTCCCAGTCTCCAGGCCCAGGTCTCCACAGAGATCCCCAGTCTCCAAGCCCGGGTCTGCACGGGGGTCCCAGACTCCCACCCAGGTTTATACCTGGGGGCCCCACCCTCCAGGCCCAGGTCTCCACAGGGATCCCCAGCCTCC